AATGTCAACTGCAGACCCCAAGGGTGAAAAGGCGGGCATGAAACATACCTGAGGATGGCAAGTTCAAGGCCAACCTCAGCAACTTATCAGATTCTGTCTTAAAAAATAAATTTAAAAAAAGAGCCAGGTGTGGTGATGCACACTTGGAATCAGAGCAAACTGGGAGGTTTAGGCAAGAGGATTGCAAGTTCAAGGCCAGCCTCAGCAATTTAGCCCTAGTTAAGACCATGTCTCACAAGAAAAAGACTGAGGATGTAGCTCAGTCATAAAGTGCCCCTGGGGGTTCAATCCCCAGTACAAATAAAGACTGGGGATGTGTGTAACTCAGTGGTACAACTTCCTGGGTTCAATCCCCAGTGCCAAAAATAAAAAATAAAATCCTTCCTCCAGGCACAGTGGTGCACACCTATAATCCCAGCCAATCAAAGACTGAGGCAGAAGGGTGGCATATTCCAGGTCAGCCTTGGCAATTTAGCAAGACCCTGACTCAAAACAGAAAGGGCTGGGGCTCAGCAGCAGAGGCTTGCCTAGCATGCGTGAGGCCCTGGGTTCCATCCCCAGCACCACAAAGTAATAAAAATCAAGCAGCCCTCTCTGGAATACACACACCCACGCACATGCACACAGATGCACACCTAGGGGAGAGACTAAGGGGCCTGGGCCGCCTCCTTAATACCAGTCACTGGGTTTATCCGCAGCACCACAAAAGGGGAAAAATTAAAACAAAAAAACTCAAACGGAGCCATTAGAAAGTACCAGCAAAAATTCCAGAACTAAAAAGCACAATAGCCAAAATTGAAAAAACAAACAAAACCACCCAAAACCAAAAACCTCACTGGACAGTCTCGATGGTGCCCGTGGAGAGGGAGAAGCCAGAGCTAGACCAAGCAGAGCGTGAAGGCAGCGATGCGACGACAGTGCCCCCGGAGCCCCCGAAGCAGTGGGAATGTGGGGCTCGGAGGTGGGGAGGCGGGGCTCGGAGGTGGGGAGGCGGGGCTCGGAGGTGGGGAGGCGGGGTACCGAGGTAGGGATGTGGGGTAAGGAGGATGGTATTTGAAGAAATGAGACTGAAATATCCCAAGTTCAGTGAAAGCTATGAACCTCCAGATTCAAGACGCTAGGTGAACCCTCGCTCCAGCACAGAGCTGTCCAAGACAAGGACAAAGGAGAAGCCGCAGGGCTGCTGGGGAAAGCAGTCCTTCCTACCCAGAACAGTCCTGCGCTGGCTCCTCCAAGACCTCTCTCCTCCTGTGTCTTCTTGAGGCCATCCCTGTGTGTGTGTCCTCTTTTCCCCTTAGAGGGTCTCTTGTCACGTTGGCCCACAGGTGGAGGGCCTGGTTCCCAAGGCTGTCCTCCTCGACTTCAGGCACCAGCCTCAAGCCCAGGTAAGTTTCCTGTGCCTTTGACAGTCAGCTACAAATCAGGGGCCCTGCGGTCCTTTCAGGCTTGGTCAGCCTGCTGGAGGCACAGAGCTCAGGGAAGTTCTTACTTGTGCTCCAGGGCAAGGATATCCTTATTATAAAGGCTTTACAAAGAGAAGACAGAAGGCACGGTCGGGGAAGGGTGCACAGCATCCAGGTCCTCTCTGGGCACCTACCCCTGAGGAGCTGCCACCTGTTTGGCTATCCTGAAGCTTTCTGAATCCTGTCCTTTGGGTTTTAGGGAGAAAGTCCAGTTTCCATGTCCTGAGTTGGGGAGGAAGTTATGAGCCAGGAACCATAAGCAAAATGATGTGAGATATATATATATATTAATCTCATAATATCATAGAGCACCCCTGGCTTCTGAGCACAGATTCCTCACAGCAACATGATATCCAATTCAAAACACTGAAGCATTACTAGAATCCCATCACTCACTAATAATTAGTCACATCTATCATTATACTGGATGAATATGCTCCCAGGTGAGGCCTCTCGGGTTTGCTGCCCTCCATTTGATCTTGCTAATTCTAAAAGCACAAATGTTCTCAGTAAACACAGCCACACCCTCCCAGGTATCTGGCATAACTGAGCAAAGCAGCAATGGCGTCTGTCTTGGGGCCTCTTCCCAGGTACTAATGTAGTAGTGTTGGACTTTCCTTCATTCATAACTTGTTTACCCATTTCTTTACTCCTAGCAACTATCATCATTCTCCCTACGAATAGCAAACTTTTCCACCTTGGAGGTGGCAGTAGGTTTGGCCACTGTGCTGGTCTGCTAGTCTAGCAGGTGCCCCCTTCTTCCATTCCCACTCCAACAAGTGAGGCACACAGGTGCAGAGCCCAAGGCTGTGTCTGCTGCCAGGGTTTCCAGCTCCAGCCATATCGTGGTGCCAGAGGGTGGTGCAGGCACCCACCCCAGGGGTCCAGAGGGAACTGTGCAAGTTGGAGACCTCATCTGTCTCTCCCCGCTTTCTGCACTTTCAGCTCCAAGACCTGGGTTCCAAGATGGCTGCAGCAGAAGGGGAAGAAGAGGAGTGTTAGCACAGTTCCAGCGTGTTGCTGCCCTGCAAGGTGGCAGGGCCATGTGGCACCCTCCCTCGCAGCTCCCCAGACCCAGCAGGAGAACCTGGTGGGAAGGTCAGCACGTGCCTCACTTTCCAGAGGAAAGAAGGACCTCCGGCTGGGCAGGTGCTCCACCTGTGTGGCAGAGAAGCTCAGGAGTATATGTGGGCTGTCTTGCGTGACGAGCGCTTGGGAGGCTTCGGTTCTTTTCAAAGGGACTTTGCCGGTGGTGAGCAGAGCAGCTGGTGAGCCCCACCTTTCACTGGCCCCTTGTGGTCTGCTCTTCACTGGAGTGCACACAACCCCACCATCAGTCTCTGGAGTGTGTTCTCCTGGGCTTTTCTTAGTCTAAAAAACACACTAGGCTAGCAGCATACCTGGGCACTGGTCACCTGGATTCACAAAGCTCTGATACCTGCTCTTTCAAAGAATTCAGGCCTGGAGGGAAGCAGGCCCGGGAGAGAAGGCGAGGGTGCGCGTGGAGCTTCTGAGTCACGGCAGTTCCCCTTCCCTCCCTTCTGTGTTCCTGTGTCTTCTCTCCCGGTCAGTCTCCTCCCCTTTCCAAGCCAGGTCCGCTTCTCCCCCAGTGAGACTCCATGAATGGTCTCTCTGCTCACAGACCGGGCACTGCCGTAACTCAGAAACCCCATGAGCACCCTCGCTTCTCTCCCAGGCCTGCCCACAGTTGGGCATCAGTGACTGTGCCACCAGCTCCTTGTCGTTGAGCCTCTCCAGGGGAAGTGTGTCCAAATGACACTCAACCATCCGAATCCGTGTGGTAGCTCCTGCCTGGCTTCTCTGTAGCACTGCAAGCACCTTCATTTTCTATGGGCAAGCCAAGCCCAGAGATGAGGCTGTCATGTCCCCAGGGCTGCTAGCTTCTGTCATACTGGCTGGCTCTGTGCAGGGCCTCCCCCTGGGGACTCTGCCTCACAGCTCTCTGCAGCCTGGGTCTCTGCCACAGGCAGACAGCTGTGCTGCAAGGGCCAGGAGGAGCAGGTTTAGATCCAGCCATCTTGGTGCAGTCTCCCATGCCCACCCATCCCATCACCCACATAGCCACCTGAACTGAGCACGTTGGGGACACCAGGCACCTCCAAGCCTGAAAGGGAGCCCTTTAGAGGCATATGTGGGTTCTGTACCATGTGCCCCTCCCTGCCTCAGGGCTGGTTCCCCATGGCGACCCTTCTCTAGGCCAGCTTCCAGTGTCCTTCTGCCCCACCAGGAGTCTGCCCGACCATGTCCAGGAGTCTGAAAAGCTCACCTGGCATTTACCCTGTTCCCTGCACTGCTGTGCTTAGACCTTCAGTGAGAGTTGCCTCCCGCCAAGTGCACAGAACACTATCCACAACCCAGCAGTTCTAGGTGGGTCAGTCGAGGGCTGTTCATGGTGCACTTTCCATGTGGGTAGAACACACAGCCTCATGCTGCCCCAGAGTCAGTCCCAGAGGAAAGGGGATCCCTGCTCCTGAGTCCTCGCAGCGGATCCTGTGTAAAAGATTTCCACTTCATCATGGAGCTCTTCTGTGCAGTGCTGCCCCATTAACGTGTTTCCCTGATGTCCCCCAAGACCCCGTGGTGCCTCAGTTTGCAAGATTAGCCCTTCTTCTCTGAGGCAGTTTCAATGCCCCACAGCAGGACAGCTGGTGCCTTTGTGGGGAGTTCTCTAATCCAGCCTCCTCGTCTGTCGGGAGATGCACCCAAGCCTTTGCCGGAGCCCCAGTGGCCCTCCACCAAGGGCTGTCCAGTGGAGACCTGTCCAGCCCAGCACACTGCCGCTCATGCTCTGCCCTGTGTCTCCCATCACCTCCCTGGTTCTATTAGAAGTCCCATGAACATTGCTGGACGGGTAGGTCCACATGCCTCCCACTTTCCACTCCAGTGAGATTCGATAACTGCCATGATAGTCACTCCACGGGAAGCATGTTCAAGTACACCAGCTCTGCTGTAAGCTCTGCCTTGATTCCACCAGCTCCACCCTCCTGATGGGGCCTGGCTAGGACTCTGCTCCATCAGTGTTCATTTAGACACCTGACTTCTTTGTGGTGTAGTGCTGGAGGTAGAACCCAGGGCCTCCTGCAGGCCAGGCAAACACTCCACTGCTGAGCTATGTCCCCAGCCCTTTTCATTTTATTTTGGGACAGGGTATTGCCAAGCTGCCCCGGTTGGCCTGGAACTCGTGACTTGCTGGGATTACAGGTCCCTCCTGCTGATACCCTGCGTTTCCTTTAGTCAGTTTCTCAGCAACCATGAACATTCCCTCCTCCTCCTCAGAGTCCTACACTCTCCCACCTTCTCATTCTCTTGCTACTGACCTAATGTTCTGTTAGCATCTGCAAACTCAAGGAGCTGCCTGAGGCCCAGGTTCCACGTGGCTCCTGGAACTGTCCCTGAGGGTGCAGCAGTAAATCAAAGCTGCCAGAGCAAAAAGGGCTCCCTGACCTGGGTCCTGGTCATGGGGAAGCCAGCCCACATAGGTGCTCACAGTTGACCACACTTTAAGACCAAATAGTCTGGACTAAAGTGTTTATTCAGCTGCTGCTGCCATTGGTCAGAGAAGGCCAGGCCTGGCAAAAAGGTCCCACGACGTCCCCAGGGCCTGAGTGGCAGCGGGTGGTCTGCCGGGCCTGGGCCAAGCGTGCTCTGATGGAGACTTGGGAAGGAAGACGTAAGGTGTGTACCTGCCACCCTCATGGCTGTAGGTGAGGGGTAACAGGAAGGCGGAGGTTGGGGACAGGAGGGCTGTTGTGAGCTGTTGCTCCGCCTCTGAGGTGAGGCTTCCAGGGTCTCAGCACACCTGGAGGGGCTGTTGGTGGTGGCTTGACTTCCCTCACCTCTTCCCCCATTAGCAATCTCTGACCCCCAAACTGGGTTTGTGGATTCCAGTTATAAACCAAGAGTTGACTGAACAGTGAGGGGGTTTGTTCTTGGCCCCAGAATGAGGAAAAGCTGGGAGAAATGACGGCGGGTCAGCTTGCCATGGGAACAGTGGGTAGGGGTCCTCCTGGGGGGTGGGGAGAACTGGGCTCTGGTGAGTGAGTAGGAGGAGTACCGGGGATCTTCCCAGGAAGTACTGGGTCCCTCCTGAAGATAGGACCACCTTCCTTCACGTCTTGTGTGAGCTGGTTGTGGCCAGGGCTGGAATGGGTCAGGCCAGATGGTACTGGCAGGTGGGGGTTTCCCTAGGGCATCTACAACAGGGTGGTCATGAGTCCAGGTGAACTGTGGCCCAGGTGGCTCCTCTGTGGCTGGAACTGGTTCTTCCCTGTTCTGTAATGTTCCATAGCATCAGCCGTGTCCCACTGTCCCCAAGGCTGGCGAGGTTGGTGTCTAGTCTGAGCAGAACCTGGTTAGCAAAAAGGTTTGTTTCTCAGGATTTGAGAGGGTTCCCCTTGCCCTTTGGCCTTTGTAATTAAATTTAGGAAGCATGGGAATTTTCCAAACTGGGGTGAGTCTGCTGGGTGCTGCTCATGGCCTCTGTAGGTGGCAAACAGGCCTAGTGGTGGCTCCTACTCATCATCTCCCCAGCTGCTCCTGGGAGCAGTCTCCGGCCGTGCTGAGAGGGCTCAGCCATCAGGCTGCTCTGGGCTGTGTGGACACCAAGACGCCACCCAGCCCAACTCTGCATCCATATCAGCCAAGGCTCCCGAAGCTGGGAGGTCTTCTGTGACCAAGTCCTGCCCTTCAGGCAATGTCTGTCCTCCTGGTGTAGCCTCTCCTCTGTGGTGGCCTCGAGGCTGGTGGCTGGTTCACACCACCATCTGGGTTCGGCCCAGCCCCAGGGCCCCAGCCAGAACTCACTCCTGTCTCATTTCAGTGTTCACAGATGGCAGAAACCGAGGGACAGTGCTTCCCTGTTCTCGTTGTCTTGCAGTACCTTGTGCCTGGTGGAGCAGCCCCAGGCTCACCAGCTCTAGAGCCCACTGGTAGCTCACTGAAGCCTGTGATCACAGCCCATGAGGCTCCAAATCAAAGTTCCTGTCCCTTAGCCTATCATCCTTCCTCTTCCTGTGCCACACGTCCTGGGAGCCATGTTCTCCACACATCCCACTTCCCTGACCCCAAATCTGAAGATACAGAAGGAAACATCAGCTCAGACTTGGGTTCTCCTGCTGGGCACTCACAGCACAAGCAGACTCTGTGGCCCCAAAGGTAGGAGTTGCTCCCCACCAGGAAGCAACGGGATGCTGCAGCCGACACCAGCGGGGGCCTCTGCTCCAGCGCAGCTCTGCAAGTGGAGGACAGCGTCACCAAAACTGCCCCAGGTACCAGCACAATCCCAGGTTGACCTACCTGTGCTCTGACCCCCCAGCTGTAAGTCTGTCCTCACGACCTCTGGTTGGGGTTGTTGATTTTACGGCGTGCTTCAAGGACTCGGGAAGTCCTGCTGTCACTGGCATCTTCTGTTTTTTTCACACAGGATGCAGATAAAGAGCTGCAGAGTGAGTGTGGGCAGGGGCTGCTTCCACGTGCTCAGCCATCTGGGAGCTTTCTTTCTTTCTTTCCTTCATCAGGGATTGAACTCAGGGGTGCTTAACCACTGAGCAACATTCCCAGCTCTTTTAATGTTTTATTTAGAGTCAGGGTCTCATTGAGTTGCTTAGGGCCTTGCTAAGTTGCCAAAGCTGGTTTTGAATTTGTGAACCTCCTGTCTCAGCCTTCTGAGCCACTGGGCCTCTGGGATCACATGCATGCACCACTGCACCTGGGTCACATCTTTCTGAAGCTTATCTTCTTAGGTTTTCATGGAGACTTCATTGAACAGGTAACTGGAGCATGGGCAACCAGGTTGGACACCAAAGGCTTGCTGCTGTGGACTGAGGGAACCCAGCAAGCGTCTGTGTAGCACTCCTTCCTCCAGGCATGGGGCAGGATCCTTCTGGAGTGAGGGCCGTGTGATCCAGTGCCAGGTAGAGTAGGGCGGAGAAGTGCTTTGCAGCCAGCTCCTACACTGAAGGCCAGGCAACTTAGAGTCTCCATGGCACACCTTGGAGGGAGTTCTGAGCCTGGCCTCATAACACCTAGGGCACAAGGTAGGTGCCTGCAAACCTCTGGCACTGAGCCTTGTCGGGGGTCAGTGCAAAACCTTGCACTGTGTATCCATGTCAGAGCACACTGTGGACTGATCCTGAGCTCCCGGCACCTAACTCATGCCAGTGAAGTCCTCCAGCTCACTTGTCCTCCATGGGCGGCATGACCTCACTTCTGGCAGAGGCTTGGGTGTTGCACACAGGGCAGTCGCCGAGAAGAAGCACAACACGTGAAACAGACCCTGCACAGGCCCAGAAGGACACCCGTCTGAGTCTGAGTAGATTGGGATGGTGAGCACCGGGAACATGCGCATTGGCCACTCAGATGTTCCTGCTCTGGACAAGTCCCTGGGGGACTAGAAGGTACTGAAGTGTGGGCTGGAAGGCCTCCACGGACGTGGGTCAGGTGAGCTTACAAATACCCAACCCACAGACCACAAGGACAGAGCAGAGACAGCACAGTTCAGATCCAGGAAGTAGGCTGGCCCAGCACCCATCAGTCCTTCGGCTGAGAGTCCAGAGAAGCCACGACAAGAGAACACTGTTTCAACTGAGGAATGAAAAGTGTGTTAGAGACACAGCCAACTCAGGATGGACACCCCTCGGCGTACCAGGAGCAGAACTTCACCCCCGGAGGCCAGTGCCTCACCCAGCAGTGGCCTGGAAGACTGCCCTGACAGGAGGCAGCAGAGACGCCCATTCCTTCTGCGTCCACCCAGAGTGCCAGGAGCCCTCACCAGGGCAGGAAGCAGGGGTAGGAACCAAGGCAGGCAGGTTGCAGGGGGGCAAAGGAGCCCTTCCTATTTCTAGAAAGTGTGGTGTCTATGTCAGAAGCTCAGGCCCCACACGCCGACTCCTAGAACTAGCTGTGAGCTCAGGGAGGCCTCAGGGTACAGGCAGCACAGAAACGAGCCTTGCCATGCACCCCTGAGGGCAGCCAGCACAGAGTGAGGGGCAGGGCTGCTGCAGCGTCTTCCCCAAGCGAAGCTCTCCGGTCAGGTGTCCTTCTAAGGGGAAACGCGTTGGATCTGCCGGGAGCCGGAGGAGGAGGGCCGAGTGCTGAAGGCCTGAGCCCTGAAGGAGTAGAGCAACAGAGACTGTGCCCACGACTGGAAGACGGTTCTCCTTCGGAGCACCACCTCAGCTCCATAAGCCCTCAGGACCGTGCTCTTCAGACACCCAGGCTGGCGGAAGGGCAGCAGCTGCAATAGAGAAGTGCCCCACAGGATGGAGGCGGAGGACTGCGCCGTGACTGTGGAGGACACAGAGCCACACAGTCCGGATGCTCCGTCTCCCGCAGGGCTGCTGAGGGGTCTGTGGAGGAGCGGCAGAGCAGGTGGCCCAGGGCAGAGGGATGGACGTGGTCCAGACCTCCCTGGCCTCCCAGAGACAGATCCAGCAGTGCAACACAACAGCACAAACCCCCGGGAAAGAAATCAGGACCTGCAGGAAGCAGAGGCCTGCCACAAAGTGGAAAGGACGTCGATAAACAACAGACGGTAAGTCAGATCTCGCCAGGAACTTCAAAATGTGTGCTGCGAAACTCACAGTTAGAGCAAGGAGCAGCTGAGCAACAGATGGGGAGAAGCTGTCCTCCAGCCCTGGCCAGTGTGCTACGTAAGGGCCCGCTAAGCTGAATGTCGGGGCAGGTGCCCGGCTGAGGGCTCTCCAGCAGGCGCTGTGGGCACATGCAGGCTGGCAGCCAGCAGCCTCAGTCCTGAGGAATGCTCTGCAGCAAAGCCAGCGGAGCCCACTGGCCAGAAGTAAGAACTGGCACCAGGCACTGGCTAGGGTGCAGCCAGCTTGGACCCCCCAGGGGACACGGGTCGCAGTTTGTGTCAGGTCAGACACACTTCACCTCACATACCCAAATCCCTTTCCTGGTGTTCACCCAAGAGGCGCAGGTGGGTGTGCAGGGGAGAGTCCCTTGTCCACAGGCCAGAGGCCAGGGGCTGGCTATGGGGAAGGGGAAGACGCTGGAGGGTGCCCCAGGCCCCACTTGTAGGAAAGAGGCAACTGTAAGAGCAACTGAAAACAGCCAGCACAGGCCCAGGGGAAGGCCTCCTGGGGTTCCCTGCCTCTGGCCTCCTGGTCACCTGACTCTGCCCTGGCCTGGTCCCTGCAGGCGGGGCAGAGAGCAAAGTCCACTGCCTCGGGGTGTGGGGTTTTCCCCCAGACCTGCCCTCCCACCTGTCCCTAGGGCAGCTCTCAAGTCCTTCTAAGACTGGGGTGTTGCCCTTCCTCCCTGCCCTTGGGCCCAAGGCCCAGGTGGGCACTGCCAGTCAGCGCCCAGCATAGCTGGAGGGCCCCTGGCTGCAGTCCATTCTTTGCATGCTAGGGACAGACTCGCCCCACCCCATTACCACCCCAGGGCCAGGCGGGTATAGACAAGGGGTGGAGGACAGCAGGTGTGCAAGAGGACGGCCAGTTGCACCCAGGTACACTGCTTCCTTCACCTGCTTCTGCAAGGTGGCTGCCAGCCCAGGTGAGGGTCCCATGGGCTGTGCTGGGCAGGGGCTGTCCTGGTTATGGGGGCTGTCCTGGGCAGGGGCCATCCTGGGCAGGGGCTGGCTTGGGCAGGGGCCGTCCAGGGGAGACTGTCCTGTCCTGACTGTGGGAACATGCACCGTCCTTTCTTCCTCCTCACTGGGGCTCAGACTTAGAACCTAAGCTACTACATTTCTGGAGGTGGAGTCTCTGTGTCCTTGGCCCTTGCCTGTGGCCTGTTTAGGCCTGTGAGGTGGCTGTTTAGGCCTGTGAGGTGGCTGGTTTTGGACGCTGGACCTGGACTGGTTACCTGTCCTCTCTTGCCTCGGGTCGGAACACACAGCCAGCCTTGCCTGCCACTCCTTTTGGTGAAGCACCTGGGACATTGGTCTTCCCGAGGGACCAGGATAGGTTACAGGGTGTCGGGTCCTGACCTATCCGAGTCTCAAGGTGCATTTCTGGCTGTAGCTAGTTCGAGGGCAGCGGTGCCCACTGTGCTGCTGGCACCAGAAGCAGGCCTGGCCAGGGGCAGCCTGTAAGCCCTGTGCAAGGGTTGCATTGTGTAGCTTGGGGACTGAGGCCCTATTGTGCCCTGAGGGCAGAGGAGGGATGTGAATGTCCAGGCCTCATGGTCACTCTTGGTCAGTTGCCTAGAGGCCCTCTGGGGCCAACCAAAAAGTCTCAAATTCACATTCCAAGGCTGGGTTTCCAAAAAGAAAGATGTTTGTTAAGCCACCCAGGAACACCTGGCCTCATCAGGGTCAGCAGGGCCACCAGACCTCAGCTGCTCAGGCCTAACCTCAGTTCCAGGAGAGACTCTGCCTGGGGCCGAGTTTAGTCCAGAGCTGGGCTCCTCCTGTGGTGACGAGGGACAAGGGTCCTGAGGTGGGAAGAGTGGGCTGCCCGATCTGGAGGGGGCTCTGCCAGTCCCATCTGTGGGCCCACAGCGCCTGCCTTGGCCCTGAGGGTGCCATCAGACAAAGCCAACTGCTGCTGGCCACAGGCCCTCTGAGTGGGGTCCTCCCCAGGCTCTGTGCGTGGCGGTGGCCCTGCTCATGGTGCCCCCAGCCGCTGCTCCGGCCAAGGTAGGCTATCTGAGGCTCAGGAAGAGTCCAGGACAGCAGCCTCTGGAGGGAGATTGGGAGAGTGAAGACCCTGCCTCTGGAGGCCAGGGTGAGGGCAGCAGGCAGAGTCCAGGTGTCCACTGCTGCTCCTGCCCTGCAGACGCCAGCCCCATAGCTGCCATGGCGCTGTCCTGGAAGGAGCGAGTTTTCATGGCCCTGCTGGGGACCGCCACAGTCTCGGGCCTCACGGTGCTGGTCCTCATCCTGGTGGAGGCCACCAACATCCTGCTGCCCGCAGACACAAAGGTGCCTGGACTGGGCGGGGAGGAGGAGGCAGGAGGGCAAGGCCATCAGCCTGCCCCACCCTCCTGACCCGAGTCTTGCCTGCAGTTTGGGATTGTGCTCGACGCCGGCTCTTCCCACACCTCTCTCTTTGTGTACCAGTGGCCAGCAGACAAGGAGAAGGACACGGGTTTGGTCAGCCAGGCCCTGGCTTGCCAGGTGGAAGGTCGGTGGGGTCACTACCTGGTGTTGGACTTGCTGGGGCTGACTGGCTGGGACTCTCGGCTGGGGGGAGGCGCCGGCCTGCGCTGATCCGCCCGAGGAGAGGGACTCAGAAAGGAAGTGGCTGACACAAGGTCCCACAGATGGGCAGTGGGACGGGAGGGACCCGCACAGCCCTGCTGCCCCGCCCCCCATGCCAGCCTGGCGGGCCCAGCAGGGCCTGTTCTGACGCAGCCTAGACGCTGCAAGGGGCTCCCATCCCGGCCTCCACTCTCCAGCTCTAGCCCTCTCGAGCCCCCGTGTCGCCACGGCCACCAGCTGCTGGGGCCTGCCCTCCAGGACCCTGCAAGGGAAAAGCTACTTCCCCAAGTGAGAGGCCAGAAAGCTCAGGGCATGTCACTCAGAACCTCAGAAGGGCCTCCACGGGCTCCAGCTCTGTCACATGTGGTCAGACCTTTGGGGCCACCACGCATCCCACCCACCTTCGGGGCTGCAGCTTGTCTTGGGGTGCTATGTTTCAGGGCCTGGAATCTCCTCCTACACCTCTGACCCCACACAGGCTGGCGAGAGCCTGAAGGGCTGCCTGGCGGAGGCGCTGGCACTGATCCCAGAGAACCAGTACCGGGGAACACCCCTGTTCCTGGGGGCCACGGCCGGCATGAGGCTGCTCAGGTAAACCAGGCTCAAAAGCCAGGGCTCAGAGCCCTGGGGCAGGGAGGGCAGGGGCTGGGCCAGGCTTCCTGCCACCTGGCCCCTGGTTTCCACTGCCCAGCCAGAAGAACAGCTCGCAGGCAGGGGACATCCTTGCAGCAGTGTCTGGGGTCCTGGGCCAGTCTCCTCTGGACTTCTGGGGTGCTGAGGTCCTGGCTGGCCAGGATGAAGGTGCTTTTGCTTGGATCACCATCAACTATGTCCTGGGCAGGCTGGTCAAGGTGCTGTGGGCAGCCCGAGGGTGGGGCTGGCTGGCCAGGGCCTGGGTGGGGTGTGGCTGGCCAGGGCTGAGTGGCCCTGTCTGTGGCTAGTACTCCTCTGGAGAGTGGATCCAGCCTGCAGAGGGGACGCTGGTGGGTGCCCTGGACATGGGGGGAGCCTCCACCCAGATCAGCTTCCTGCCCCGCGGCCCCATCCTGGACGAGAGCACCCGGGCGACCTTGCGTCTGTACGGCACCGACTACAGCATCTACACTCACAGCTACCTCTGCTTTGGGCGGGACCAGATGCTGAACAGGCTGCTGGCTGCGCTGGTGCAGGTCAGGCTGGCCCAGGGAGGGCGGGAGGGAGGCAAGGCAGGCTGCAGCTCAAGCCCCCTGTGACCCTGCAGAGCAGCCCTGGGGCCCTCCTTCGTCACCCATGCTACCTCAGCGGTTTCCAGACCACACTGCCCTTGGCCTCCCTCTATGAGTCGCCCTGTGTCCACATGGCAGCCCAGCTGGACCTCACCCAGAACCTCACTGTTGAGGGCACAGGCAACCCTGGGGCCTGCCTGGCCGCCATCCGGGAGCTCTTCAACTTCTCCAGCTGCGAGGGCTCAGGAGACTGTGCCTTCAACGGAGTCTACCAGCCCCCGGTGCAGGGCCAGTTCTACGTGAGTTCCGCTCGCTGCCCCCACCCAGGACGGCTTCCCTCAGAGCCCCAGGAGGCTGCCTGGCCCCAGAAGGAACAGGAGCACCCTGGGCGGGGGGCAGTGGGAAGGAAGAGCCATGGCTGGCTCTGGGGAGTGGGTCCCTGGGATGGCCTGGCTGGTCATGGCCTCTCCCCTCTGCCCACAGGCCTTCTCCAACTTCTACTACACCTTCCACTTCCTGAACCTCACCTCCAGGCAGCCACTCCGCACCGTGAACGCCACCATCTGGGAGTTCTGCCAGAGGCCCTGGAGGCTGGTGGGTAGGAGCCTGTGGGCACGCAGGGCCTCAGGGTCTCTGAAACTCCATCAGACAGGAGCTGGCAGTGGAGCCCTCTGGGCAGCAGGCAGCAGGCTGGCGGCGTGGGAAGGGAGGGCGCCCCTGGGCCGTCCTGCTCCTGGAGGAGGCCGGCCCGGGGTCCCAGGGTGACCAGCCTCTGGTTGTTACGAGGTGTATGGCCTGGGGCAAGGGAAGGGCTTTGGCAGGACCTGCCATGGTCAGAGGCTCACCCAGCTGGGTGGGCTGGCCCCCCGGGCTGGGAGCCTGGGAGGCCCTGGGCCTCACAGCCCCTGGCCCTGGGTCCAGGTGGAAGGCAGCTACCCGGGGCAGGAGCGCTGGCTGCGGGACTACTGCGCTTCCAGCCTGTACATCCTCACGCTGCTGGAGGCCTTTGGGTTCAGTGAGGAGACCTGGGCCAACATCGAGTTTCAGAAGCAGGTGACCACCTCCCAGCCATGGCCCATCTGCCCCAGGGATTGGGGACTCTGGGGCAGCTACTCGGCCGCCCCACAGCCCTCAGCTGCCTTGTACCCTGCAGGCTGGTGGCACTGAGATCGGCTGGACACTGGGCTACATGCTGAACCTGACGGGCATGATCCCGGCCGAGGCGCCAGCCCAGTGGCGGGCACAGAGCTATGGCGTCTGGGTGGCCGGCGTGGTGTTTGTGGTGCTGACCCTCACAGCCATCCTCGGGGCTGCTGCGGTGCAGCTCCTCTGGGTCCAGGACTAGGCGGGGCCCAGAGAGCCAGATGTGCAACAGGATGCCCTTAGGGCTCAGCTGGGAGCCATCGCCAGGTCCTTGATGTCCAGGAGTCGTCCCTTGGACAGCAAGCCCGACTCCACACAGGACTGGGTGGCCAAGTCCAGCACAGCCACTGCCCCCCGGAAGCCAGGCCTCCCGTCCCCCCCTCACGTCACCCAGTTGTGCTGGCCGGTGTGTGGCTCCCCAGACAGCGGGCCTCTGCATGAACCCAGGTGGTGCCCAGCAGCACCCAGGCTGTGTGGGGGTGAGCATGGGAGGGAGGCTGGACTCCCTGGGTCCCCATTTGCCTGGGGAGGGAGGGGGCTGTGGCTGCCCACTGTGATCCAAAGAGGGGCCAGTTCCCATCCCCCACACCCTCTGCTGGCCTATCCAAAACACAGACCACGTGGTAGGGACAGTTTATTAGAGTCTTTCCTGGACGGCTTGGGCCTGGGCTCCGGGGCCGGGTGGGGGCTCCTCACAGGCGCTGTCTGCAACCGCGAAGCACTTGGGGAAAATGCCAATGCGGCCGTCCAGGTGGCCCTCCAGCCACGCCTCGTCCACTGTGAGACACGTGGGTGACACTCAGCCCAGCAGCACCCTGTGCCTGGGCATCCCCCACAGTGCCAGAGAAGGGCTGTGCCCGACTACCTTCACACAGGACGTCCACCACATCCCCGCGACGGAGGTCCAGGTCCTCTGGCCCCTGGGCCAGGTAGTCATGCTGGGCCACCACCTGGCGGAGGACTGGACGGCCCCCAGCCCCCTGTGGCAGGAGAGTGGGCTAGGGGTGGCTCAGGAGGAGGGTGCCCCACGCCGCCCAGGGCCACCCACACTCTGCCCCGCCTCACCCGGCACTGGAGCTGCAGCCCTCGGGGCCCCGGGGCCGCGTCCCTCCAGGCACTCTGCAGCTGCTCCTCCCCAGGGAGGGGGGTCCAGGGCCCAGCACTGTCAGGGGCTCGGTAACTGCAAAATGTCCCCAGGGTGGGCCAAGAGGGTGACCCTGGGCAGGGCCTAGATATGCCCTGGGGAGCTGACCCCTGCGGCCAGTTCCCTCTATACCTGCCAGGACCCAAGACCTGGACTGGGGAAGCCAGTTTGGTCCCTGCCTTGACCGGAGGGTGCCCCACCTACTCCTCAGCTCAGGACCTACCCCACACCCATCCTGTCCCTTCTAGTTCGCATCACGGGGCCTTTCTGGCTGACCTGAACTGCCCCTGCTGGGCCTGGTGCTGGAGGGCCTGAGCCAGCAGTGCCCGCAGGTGGGACAGATCAGCTCCCCTTGGGGCCTTCAGGGCCACTGTGAAGGCACACTGCACGGTGACAGTCACAGAGGACTCAGGGCCTTCTGCATCTGCTCCCTGAGGCCAGAAGGAGAAGTGGCATCAGGCCTGGCCAGGGTGGGCTTCAGGCCCAAGGGTGAGGGCAGAGACTGGGGGCTGGGTGAGGCCTGGGAGGGGCAGGCAGCTTTATCTCTTACCCCAGCACCCAAGGGGTCCTCATAGGCGCTGGGACCAGGCCCCCCAGATACTGGTGGCCCTGTGGAATAAAGCAGGGCTCGTGTGACCATCTATTCCCAATGGAGACATCTTGGGGTAGAGGACTGGCTAGTGGGCATGTGGGCAGCTTGCCTTGCAGGACAAAGGCCAGGCCCGGCTCTGTCCACTGAGCACCTTGCACTCAGGACCCTTACCTGTGGGTGCAGGTGTCTTCTTGCCACTTGGCTCCACCTGGTGCCCCTGCAAGGGAAGTCACAGGCTGGGGTTCTGGGCTGGGGGGCCCTGGCCTTGAGGTGGCTCTCCCTGCCTGGGGCTTGTCAGGGCCCTGGGCTCTGTCCTGGACAGCCAGTGTGACAGTGTGGCCTGAGAGCAGGGATGCTGGCAGCAGGCCACAAGTCAAACCCTCGGGGGTGAATTCAGGGCACTGACCACCAGCTCTGGGACCTCCTGAGGCTTCAGACCCACCAAGCCACTAGGAAGGGCCAGGTCAGGGCATCGGGCGTGAGGCCCAGTGAGTGAACTTAGGTGCAGTTCTAAGCACTGAAGCGGCTGAGTGCAGCTGTTAAGAGGGACACTGAGCCGAGGCTGAATGAACAGGACACTGACGAGAAAGCGAGGGTGGCCGCTCTCAGGACACCCAGGCACAGGCTCCACAAGGCCCTGCTCCTGGCTTCTGGCTGCGTGTGCCTTCCTCCACCCACCCCACCCAGCCTGGGGCTGGGAGCCTGGGAGCCAGGGAGCAAGCCGGAGTGATGCCTGTCCAGGGGAGGGCAGGAGCCCGTGCCCTCCAGGCTGTCTGCCTCCGACTGCGCCCAGGCTGCACTCCTGGGGGCCCACAGGGAGATTCCTACCACATCCCTGGCCCAGCCAGTGAGGAGGCTGCCCCACGCACCCCGGGCTCACGTGCTGGCTCGCGGCTGATGCCTGGCACGAAGAGCTCAGCCTCCGGCGCCTGGTCCGAAGCCACCTCCGTCTCTGCAAGGTCAGGACTGCGGTGGGCGTCAGCTCTCTGGCGGTCTAAACCTCGGGCCCTGGGCAGGGGGCCACAACTCAGGCCTAGCCGGTGCGGGCTTACAGCCCTGCCCTCCCAGAGCCCAGAAGCTTTCTGTCATCGTCTCAGCAGCCCCTTCTGTCAACTGCAGTACAAGCCCTGCCCCAGGCAAGTCATGTCACTGAGTCCCCTCCCTGGACAGCTCAGTCCAGACCCTCATCCCCCCTCCCTTGCTGCACCTGGAGTCACAGTGGCTCCGTGAGTCTCAGCCTCCCCCCATGTGCCCACCTCTCCAAGGGGGAGTTTTGTGGCAGGAGACAGGGTAGGCTGAGGGAGGCCAGGGCCCCTTTTCTGGCACCCAGGCATCTAGCCAGTTTCAATCTATAAACGGACACAGTCCTGTTCCTGGGCAGGAATGGCCACGCCCAGCCCCTTCCTACCATGGCGCAGTCTCCAGACCAGCTTTGCTGTCAGCTCTCCATCCCTGTGGGCACAAAGGGACATCCTCACCCGGCCTGGCCAAGAATGGGAGACAGACAGGTGGCTCCTCTGCCCCAAACCTCAAGACTGCATATCCTTACAGGTCCTCATGCCAGGTGGGACGGCCACTCCCACCTCCCACTAGGGGAGGCTGGGGGCCCCGGGCAGGGGGACAGGGCAGAGCCGTGGTCCCGCAGCGTTCTCTCCTTACCAAAAGCCAGGCAAACGCAGGCCTGGGCTGCTGGATGGTCACTCACCTGCTGAGGCTGCAGACCTGAGTGCTGGTCACTGGGGATGGCAGACACTACCACCTGGGGGCGACAGGGGCACACTCAGACCCAGTGGGGTCTGCACCTCCAGCCCCTCCCAGCCTCTGATATGCAGGCTGGGGGCTGCCCAGGCCTGGCTTTAGACTGCTGGACCACTACCGTGGGAAAAAAAGAGACACTTCTGTGCTGATGATTTCTTTATGGTGCTGGGGATTGAACCCAGTGGTGCTCTACCACTGAGCTACACCCCAGCTCTTTTTATTTTGAGATAGGGTCTTGCTAAGTTGCTGAGGCTGGCCTTGAACTTATTTCTTTTATATTTAGTTTTTAATTGCAGTTGGACACAACCTTTATTTTATTTATTTTTATGTGGTGCTGAGGATCGAACCCAGGGCCTCGCACGTGCTAGGTGAGCGCCCTGCAACCCCAGCGCCAAGGCCCTGCTCCTGGCTTCTGGCTGCGTGTGCCTTCCTCCACCCACCCCACCCAGGCCTGGGGCTGGGAGCCTGGGAGCCAGGGAGCAAGCCGGAGTGATGCCTGTCCAGGGGAGGGCAGGAGCCCGTGCCCTCCAGCCCCAAGGCCTTGAACTTATGATCCTCCTGCTCAGCCTCCCAAGGTGCTGGGATTACGGGCATGTGCCACCATGTCCAGTATCCATGCTGATAATTTTAACATTTTTAGTACAAGTTTCAAAATATTTTTTGTTTCTTGTGACAGTCTTGTATTGTGGAAGGTAGACTGCAAATGGCTGCTTGGACACTGCCCCTTCTCCCTGCCCTGGCCTGCCCCAGGGACGTCTGTGGGTGGCACATGCCATGTGCAGCTGCACAGTAGTGTACTGGCTGAGTGCTGCTGTAAGTGACCACAGGTACACTGCCAGTCTAAGGGCCACCAGTGCAAAAGCAAGGTGCTCTTCTTTGTGATGCTGGGAAATGCCATTGCCCCAAATCCCTCTTCCTGCCTTCAGAGGGGAACTTCTCCCAGTACCCTGTGATCTGGAGTCGCTGCTGGCCCCCGACCCAGGGAGGGGATACGGTACAGCCCAGGACAGCCATCTGGGTCCCACCCTACCCTCCTGTGTATGGCAGAGAGAGGCAGGGGCAAGGCGTGGCCGCTGCCGGCCTCCTCCACAGCGGGCTTCCTGGGTCCTGCCTCCAGGCCCACAGCCCCACTGGGGATGCCATCCCCTAACACTCAAGTCAGTTTGAGGGCCTTCCAGTGGCCTTGACTGGACCCCAGGTGTCCCCAGGCACACAGCTGCGGCTCAGTGCAGGATCACAGCCGCATTAGAGCTCAGCGGGCCCTGGCCCGCGTTCGGGCTGGGAAGGGGCCTGCACACACTCTACCTTGGCTGTGCCGAGGAAGTCCACTGGCTGCAGATGCTCCAGGTACCGCCGGGGGGGCCGGAACACCTCGCCCCTGGGAACCTGCCGGGGCTGTAGGGTAGCCTGTTTCTGGGATAGAGTCATTGCAGACCTCAGTGGCTGGCCAGCAGCAGGGGCAGGAGCCACTTAGACCCTGCCTGTCCCATAGCCACCTCCCCGAAGAGCTTCTTCTTGTCACACAGTGGCCCTCAAGGGGCTGAGCTGTCAACACCAGCCCCAGCTGTAGGCCACAGGTGGCCTGTCCAGGGCCAGCACCCTCACCTGTCCTCCACACCTGATCTCCTCACCTGCACTTGGTTCAAAGCAGTGTCCAGGCCATCCTGGGCTCTCTCTGGCCACTTGGAGATGGCCTCCACCAGGGTGTCAGCAGCCTGGGTCCACAGCCCTAGTTGGCACTGTGCAGATGCCACATTGAACAGCACCTGGGAGTGAGGGTGAGGGATGGCAGGGGCCAGATCCTACCCCTGGACCCTCTGGCCCACCCACTCCCCCACATGGGCTCCCCAGCCACAGCAGCTGAGGGTGCTTCTGGTGTCCAGCTGACATGGGGACTGTGGCCAGGGACCAGGCTGCCTCTGGCCACCCAGCCCAGTCATGGGCAGTCAGGTGGTCCTGCCCTGTACCCAGCTCAGCCTCTGGCAATACCCTACTTTGCTCTGGGGCATCATCTTCTGCTTTGGACATTAGAGCTTCTCTTCCTGGACTGTGCCCGGCCTGCACACCCTCCCATGCCCTGTTCCCTGTACCTGCAAGTCTGAGGAAGGTCCTGCAGGGGCCGAGGGGACTCTCAGAACCCA